CTTGCTATGTATGTGGAGACACACAGCTTACGAGCACACACAAGGGTGGCTCCATAGGACCCTGCAGGGGAAAGTAGTCACCCTAATACAGGATATCAGGACCAGTGCTCAGGGGACCGGCTGATTCTGCATTAAACATCAACTTGCCGCCTCCATTCTACACGATGTAATCTACGTTTGAATTTAATTAAAAACATTTGGACTTGAATATAATTTTAAGCAACTGAGGTTAGTCGCCACTTCAACCCCGTCCTAAGACCGGATAATAAATGAGCAGCAGATGACTGATGGGGTCTTCCTTTGCTCTCTCTCCTATTCTTGCCAACACATCTGCATGCAGCACACCTGATTGGCTCTTAGTGCCGCTACTTCCTCTCCCAGTCTGAGTGCTGCTGTTACAGGAGAGTACAGGAGGCAGATTCCATACAGTTGTCCCCAACGAAAAAACACAACTGCACTCATTGCCCGTTATAGTCATTCTCTGAACTGCCACCATGCCATCAGTCTCCAGCAGGGGGCAGCAGCCGCCTCCCTATCTCTGGTCCCCAGCTAACCGGGATGATGTCATTGGGAGGATAATGTCCTTGCAGAGGGAGATGCAGCACCTTCCAATGTACAAACAAAACACTCAGACAGCCCTCGTCAGACCGTCATGTTCCAGAAGAGAGATGCAGAACCCAGACTGAACATCGTGACGTCACTGACAAGGTTGTTATTGTCCCAGTCACACCACAGCCAGCCAAATAAACGCCGCGACAGGAGAAAACAATGCAGACCCCATGAGGAGATCCCAACCCCCCCCCCCCCCCCGGCAGGGCAGAACATTTCCTCCCGCTCACATCATCCGGTGACACACTATAGAATGCATATAATGCCATCTCGCCTTTCTATATATACACGTTGTGCGTTTATTCCTGCCAGCGCTTGTCACGACTTGCTCTTACTCAGCGTCATGCAGCGTGACTGAGTGGGTGACGCGTGGGACGGGACACGTGAAAGGTGCTTACCACGGGATGTCTGCCAAGTGTGAATCTCACTCTACTGGCGCTAACCTGACTCTGCGTGTCTCATTACTTCATGGGATGAGTCTCCGGCAGAAGGATTCCTGATGTCTGGGGAGAGATGGATTGCTAGCTCATCGGGTCACTTCCTGTGATTGTACTTACTGCATATTAAGGCAAAGGACATCCGGAGGAGCTTGAACTGACACTTCATCCCAGACCAGTTCTAGGGGAAAAGATTCACCGTTTATCATGACAACCGAGAATCAGCAAAGACCCATTCACACCAACAACAGCACTACAACTCTCACCAAACCCATCACTTCCACCACA